AATGGAGTTAGATTGGATATTGAATTAAGCAAATAAAATGGATTTTTTTCGGTGAGAGAGGTGTTGTAAGCCTTCGTTTGAGACGGATTTTTTCATTTCTTAAGCAAGTTATATAATACAAAAAAAAATAAAAATTTTTATTAAAAAACCCACTTAAAAAACAGTAAAAAGGGACGGTGCATGCGCAGTGAATAAAATAAACTCGACACCCAAACGTGCACCCAACTAAAATTTACGGCGTCAATTCTTCTCCTCTCGCCTCCGCAGTTCTTCACCTATTTCTACGGGAGACAAAAAGGCTTCACAGTCAGGAAAAGCACAGAAAGAGACGGTGAAAAAAATAAAAAAAAGCAGCTCGGAATCGCAAACGACAGTATGTGATTTTGAAACCCTAGCGAACTTCTTTCTTCTTCGAATCTCCGCTGTTCGATCTCGAGGGTGGTCGGGATGCCTCAAGGTGGAGGCATCACTGCGGTGATAGCCGGCTGAGGAGTGGCGGCTGAGGAGGCAGCTCTGGACGAAGATGGCACTGTTCAGGAGGTTGTTCTACAGGAACGCCGCCGGATCGGTTGCTGGAGATCTCCGAGAGGGTAGTATGGTAATTCGTCTGCTATTGTGTTGATTTTGTCCACGTTTGCTGGTGCTTTTCATGTATTTTTTGTAGTGATTTCGTTTTTATTTATTTATTTTTTTGGATTGGATCTGCTTGTGAGGAAGTGCGGTCTCGATGAGCGTAGATCTTGGATTGTAAATGATGCTGGGATCGGTATTTCGATGTTTGTAATTTTAGAGTATTTTTTGGGATATTATTGATTTGTTGAATTTGCCGTTTTGTTTTGCTCTCTCATGTCTTTTATTTAAAATAACAGGATTCTTTTGTTTTTTCTTTGATTGGCTCTACACGTGTCAAATTCCAAATCATCTAGTTAAAGATGATGCGAAGCCCAAAAATTTCCCAAAAAAAAAAAAAAAGATGATGCGAAAGCTTTGTTTTTCCTCTTTCAATTGGATGTCCATTGTGTTGGCTAATGCTCTATAATCGTTGACGTTGCTTGTTTTTAATTTTTGAGTTTGGGAAGTTGAAAAATCTTCATTCATTTTTCTCCTTTGACGCCGTCTTTGTGGCCATTGGTCGGCTTAGAGAGTTTTATTGAAGTTATTGTTTTGAAAATTAAAAAAAAAAAAACCTTAATTCTTTGTTGCTAAGACATCTATTCATTTGCATGGTTTGGACTGTTGCTTCTCCTCCGAAACTCTTAGAGATAAAGAGTACAAGGATTACCTGGAGTTATAGTTTCCCAGCTTCAAGATTACTTTCCTTGATGCCTCATTCATTGGTATGCAACTTTAGGAAGGGATAAGAAGGTCATATCTCTGATATTTTGTCGGAGTATGATATGACAGTTATGGACTACCTCGGCAATACGAAGGTTGTCCCTTACTTCCATTGGAGATGATCCATCATTTCTTGAGGTCTAGTGAGAGCTGGTTGTCTCTTTGAAGGCAACATAATTTTTACTGATGCATTGTGAGAGGGGAGGTTGGCCTGTTCTTGCTTTATGCTCGCAGGCCTTCTTCTCTACAGGAAGCAGTACAATGGGGAGCAGAAGACCCTTAAAATGGTCTATAAGCAAGCCCCCAAGAATTGTTTCAATCTCTTTTGCTCGTTGAATCCGCAACCTCTCACCTGAGATACTTGCAGTACATAACCAGACAAGGCAGTGGGTCAGATTGGCCTCCTAAGGGATAAACCCTTAATGTTGGAATGCATCATTCTTAGGGTTGTTCCACAAGTTGATACTATGGAGGTTGCAGACCGTTGTTCGAATTTATGCCAAGACCCTCTGAATCTACGAACAGGAGCTCAAAGATACTTTTTCAACTCCAAGGACCAGGAATAAGTGTTAGGCATTATAGACAGTTCTGTTTTTATTTTGGTGATTTAAGGGCTGTTTGATTGTGTATTTAGAATTCAATATATTTAAAGTGAGTGTAAATTAACTCAATAAATTTGAAATACTCAAAAGATTGTTTGGTTGCTTGTAAAATAAATTCATAATAAATTTTGTTATATTTGGTTTGATGCAAAATGGAATTCTAAATGCCTAAATGCAAAGAGCCAGGGCACGACGATGTTGTCTTTCTCGACGAGGTCGACGATGCCTATTGTGGTTGACACAACATGGGTGGTTTGGATGAGCGATGAGCTAATATGGAGTGCTATCACACTATCGTCGGCATTATCATTGGATGCCGCGATTGGAGTTGGTATGAGTGCTACACGGCACACGAGCATTGCATTTTTGAGGGAACACTTGAGAACAGGCTAGGATGAGCAGTTTGTGGGAAGGAGCACTTAAACAACTTGGAATTTGCCTGGTGTGAAGTGAATTCCAAATTCTTTAAAATAAAATGAAAGGGTGCATTTTGAAAATTTCAAAAATTTGCCTTGAGTTTTTTTTTACTCCACCAAACAGAATAAAATATAAAACTCAACATTTTGAATGCAATACAGTCCTAATCAAACAGCCCCTTAAGCAATGCAATTTTCTTTCTGCTGTTATTGATTGTCTATAACAATTACAGGAGGAGAATGCAGACCCAAAAATAAGTGCTAGATGTCGTGTTCAAGGAGATGTTGTCCTTGAGTGTATCCATGTGGATGAGGATTTGGAGCGAGAGGTGATTGATGTTCAGAGTCATGTTTAACACTGCGTTTATTGAGTCTGATGTATACTATTTGCGAACAATGAGGAAATTGATGTTGTCTGGAATGTGAAGGATCAGTTTCCCAGAGATTTCAAAGTAGAGTACGTTTTCATTATTGGACTGTATCTTCTATTATGATGAAATTTGAACGCACATTCATGCCCGTAACAGGTACTCTTTTCAGACTTTAATGTGGCTAAATCTGAAATGAACTTAGAAGCAGCAACTGGAGGTGATGATGATGATGATGGTGACTTCGAAGGTGCTTCCACAGAGGAGTTTTTTGAGGCAGAAGAGATTTCAGCACCTCAGAAATTGCATGCAGATACTCAGATACTTCGTTACAAAAAGTGCAGTGGATGACAATGTTCCAATTCAGAAATTCATTGTTGTAGCTGTAAAGATGTGAAAAAATTAGAAAATGGCATTACACAGCAGAGTTCCTACGGTTCATCAATGGAGGAGACACAGATGAAATTGATAGAACTGATGCACTGGTTGAACTTACAAAAATAGAAGTGAAGGACACATGTGCAAACCACTGATTCTGGACCTAATGTTACTGAAAAACTTATTATGCTGGATGATGTGTTTCCACTTGAGGAGAAGAGAATGTTAGAAAGCAGTAGTTTGTTGGGGAAAACAGAGGCTCTTTCTTCAACGGTTGAAGAAGAATCTTCTGGAGCACAATCTTTCGATGATTCTGAGCCAAAACATTTTATTCATCAGTAATAAGCAATTTCTTCCAGAAGACAAGAACTATAGATGGCGAAAGTGGCAAGTTGGAGAACCTCGCACTGTCAAATGGAAGAAACAACAAAATAGAATATAGTGTTTCTGAAGAGGGTATGGATGGCTCTACTGCCTAAAAAACATTTTTTTGATCAGTAGTGCTATGAATAGCCTTGTTACACAGGGAAGTATCTTTTTTTGGATGGCAGGGATCACGACTTAACTAGTCTAAGTGTGGTTGATCATAAAGTTAGAAGAACTACATACACATGATTCCCAGCATGATTTGAAAATTAAGTAGAGGCATATTCATAGCTGGTTGGAAACATCATCTGCTACCGAGCGGAGGAGAAATTGGACCAAACTTTTACTATTTGTGATAAAGCAACTATTAGTGAAAATTGATAGCATTAGATGAGGCGAATGAGGGGAAAGGGAGAAGTTAGCAGAAATCAACAATTTCATGCAGAAAAGTAGGGGTCTAGATCCCTTACTCATTGGAAGAAGAAAGGGTACAGGAGACCCAAGTCCATCTTGAATGTTTAGTCAAAGGAGCTTTTTTCCCAGAATGATGGTGAGGATGTTACAGATGACATGCTCGATACCCACGTTTCAGATTCTGAAGATAAGGGTGCATTGGAAGTAACTGTCTCGAAAAGTGATCTCGATATGATTTCTATATCTAGGAAATCTATGTAAGTGATGTTAATCAAAAGTTTGGGTTGAGTGACGCTGCAAGCAAAAGAATTTGTGCTGCAGAAACTGTTGATTTTGAAAGAGAAAGTAATGTAGCGTTTGTGAAGCAAGGGTTGAGGCAAAGTTTACAAATAAGAAGACGGGAAGTATTACTCAGAGGCAGAATAATGAGAAGGTTTTGCCTCCCATGAAAAAATCCCAAACAAATAGCCGGCTCCTTCTAATCCTGTCGCAGCTAAACAAAAGATAGCCATCAAGAAGCGACAAACTTACATGCAAAAGCAGCCAAAACTAAAATTGTTGCTCGGTGGATATCACCCCAAAAGGCTTCTGATTTGACAATCATCATATAGGCCTTCTCACCCTCCATCTAGATACAACAGTGCACCACCTGCTTTAGCCATGCCCTCGGTTCAGACAAATGATGAAAGTATTAATGTTTAGATCGTTTAGTAGACTGTAATTCTTTGGATGGGTATGTTTCTTCAGTGGGCAGTGTGCCATCACTTTCTCCTCCATTAATAGAGCCTTCGAAACATGCCCTTGATCATTTATCAATTTCATGCCAGCATACAGCTGCCCATTCTCCTGCATTGCAATCTCCACCATCTCAACAGCCTCCCAGAGTGCCATTAGTCGAAACTCACAGCTTGGGCACTAAATTAAAAAATTCTTCAACCCAAACTCTCTCTCCCCTCGATCTCCATCACCTCCACCTCCACTACCACCTCTTTCTTTGCCTCCAACTTCCAATCCACCTCCTCCTCCAACTCCACCTCCTCCTCCACCATTGCCATTGGATCATCCATCAAAGGCCCATTTTCATCTCCTGATTCATGTATTTGGTTGATGTTACATAGCCATAGGCCTTCCTTCCTATGCAACTACTCAACTTGTGTTTCCTGCAGCAAAAAAAGGCAGGGCCGCCGCCTCCTCCTCCTCCTCCTCCTCCCCCCCTTCCACCAACCTGCATTCTCAGAAGATCCATCCAAGATGAATCTCCTTCGCCCCCTCCACCACCCACTGTCTCAGGATCATCCATCAAAATCTCATGCCCTCCTCCACCTCCACCTCCACCTCACCTCCCAACAATCCAAAGTGTATTCATGAATGCTTCCATCTTGCAGCCGCCACCTACACCATCCCCATCAAAACACCAAGCAATCCAAACAAAGGCTCCAGTCCCCCCCTCACCACCTCCACCTCCACCACCTCCACCTTCCACAAGAAGTTCATTGGGTGCATTTTATTCTCCTCCACCCCCTGCCCCACCCTCACCTGTGCCTATTACCCAGAGAAATTCGCTAAGTGCTTCTCCTCCCCCACCCCCACCACCTCCCCCATCACATGGTGGGTCATCTAATGGTATCCCTCTTCCTTCCCAAACTCATTCCAAGGCTACCTCTGGTGGATTAGGTTCTGCCATACCAGCCCCCCCTCCACCTCCACTTAAGCCAAATGTTGTTGGATCAGCTCATGGCCTTCCTCCTTTAAAGGCTTCTATGAAGGGCTTTTTAGGAGTACAATCTCCACCGTCGCCACCACCTCCTCCTCCTCTTATGCTAGGAGGAGCTCCCTCTCCACCCCCACTCCCTGGGGTACGTGTAGGAGCTTCACCAGCCCCCTCTCCACCTCCACCCCCACCTCCACCTCCTCCCAGTGGATGCAACATTGCTCCTCCTATCTCATTAGGTCGGGGAGCTCCAATGCCACCTCCTCCACCCCCTTTAGGTCGGGGAGCTCCAATGCCATCTCCTCCACCACCTAGGGGATGTAGCAGTTCCCCACCTCCCCCTCCACCTGGAGGGCGTGGTGCTCCACCAACCCCACCTAGAGCTCCTGGAGTACCCCCCCCACCTCCTATTAATACTCCTTATCCTCCAAGTGGTTCAAGAGGTCAACCCCCAACTTCCTTGGTTGGAGGTAGAGGCCGTGGGCTTGCACGTGCCACGGGATCCAGTGCATCTTCACTAGCCCCTCGTAGATCATCATTGAAACCATTGCATTGGGTGAAAGTAACAAGAGCCGTTCAAGGAAGCTTATGGGCGGATATACAAAAGTCTGATGATGCCCTAAGGTATGATTGGGTTAATTGCCCTTATTTCCCTTGTTGATAGTCAACATTGCACATACTTACTATATACTTTCTAAAATTATACTTATCTCTCCTATAATTAGATATTATAGTACATGTTAATCTCAATTTGTTTTTTGAAATTACACTTGACTTCCTTGCTGTTAGATTTTACATTACGTGTTTATCCAATTATTTAATTGAGAACTTAAAAAAGGAAAAAAGTTATTTTAGAAAACATAGGAATGTGCAATATTGGCTATTTGAGAGGAAGGTAAGTGCAATCAACTAAATGTTTTATTTATGCATGGCTAAATATGATCCTCTGTTTTCTACCCGAACCTTTATTTCTTATATGTTCTGATTTTAACATGTAGCCAGTAGGTAGATGCATTTCAATTTGTACTGATTGTGGTTCTGTAGGTAGTGTTTTATATCTTCTTAAATGACTAAGAAGCTTGATTGCAGCATATATCTTTTGTTTACCTAGAGGAATTGCTTGCAGTGTTTCGGAATTCGACGAGTTGGAACTGGAAAGTCTCTTCTCTGCTGTCATCCCAAAGTCTGATAGCTCAAAATCTGAAGGGCGGAGGAAATCTCTTGGGTCAAAATCTGATAAAGTCCACCTGGTAACTAAAGGATGCTAATATTTGTACTCTACAGCTATTCTGAAAATGATTACTAGGCATTTTTTTTTATGCGTGCCTTTAGGTTCACGTTGGCTTTCTTGCTTGCATGATAATTGCGCATTTTTACATATTAGACATGCTTGTTTTAATCGCTAGAATCTCTTCCCATTCTCCTTTCTATGTTTTGTAATAATAAACTTCTAACTGCACCCTCTCTCTTCTTTCCCCACTCCAACAATGAAAAAAAGGTCCTCATTTATCATAGTTCTATAGAAGTGGAGCCTTGTCATTAATAAATTTTTTTGACAGGGAATGTACAATCCAAACGATCATCTTTGAAGATGGACATCTATGATGTTCATGCACAAATACGATGGCATAGATACAACACAATACAGACACGAGACATGTCAATTATTGAAAATATATGACACAAATATGGGTTTGACATGGTATAATAATTTTATATTTCAAAAATAGTATATAAACATTGAATAAATATAATACTAAAAATGATTTAGAAATAATAAGTCATTTAATTAGAATTTGTGTTTAAAATAATTAAGATTAGGATGTCGACAGTCGGGAGTCGATGTTATGTATCAGGCATCGAGAGAGGAAACAACAATGATGTCGAGAGTCGAGCATCAATGTTATGCAGTAAGTATCAGGCTTTGATGTGAAGAGGGCGTCTGTCGTTGATGTTGAGGGAGTGTTGGTCGTCGATGTTAAGGCAACGTCGGATAAAGATGAGCTGTGAAGTGTGGGTGTATAAATTGCTAGCGCCGAGCATCAACGTCAAAACAATATCAGACTTTGATGTTGAGATGATTTTGAAATATTGATGTTGTAATGACGTTAGACTTCGATGTTGAGATGATATCGATGATTGTTGTGAAATCAAAGTCGCGACCTGCCAAAGAGAAATAAAAATAAGAATATTTGATGAATATGGTATTGAGTGCGGGCGATTGATTTGATGTTGTGGGTACGAAATAATAAATTTAGTTTTTATATTTTAAATTTAGGAAATTATATTTTTTAAAAATTAATAAAATATTTAAGGGTGGAATGTTTTATTTACCTAGTGCATGAAACTCTCACCAGGTTTGGGGGTGGTATTGTATACAATCTTACCCAGCTGAAAGATTATTTCTGTCACTCGAAAGTTGAATCCATGGCCTCTAGATTTTAGTGGAGCAACTTAATCACTGTTCTACGTCAGCCATCTAATAGTAAAATCATCTTGTTTTCTTAAGGGTGGAATGAGGGCCAGTAACCAGATTACGTAGCTTTAGATCCAATGCTGAATCGAGGGATTGTTGAATAGAAAGCTAGGCCCAGAAAAGCTTCAGTTGTGTTTTGGAATAAATTCCAAAACTGCTTTCTGTTTCAAAATGTGGTTATGATGTGAATCGTATAGGAGTTACATGCGAAATTAAAAGAACAATTGAATAAAATTTTGCTGAAGAAAATCTCTTGCTTAGATATAAAAGAGAACTTAAAATTTAAAGAAGTCAACTTGCTTAGGCCAAAGAAGTGCTTCGATGCAAACCGTACAATTCAATCAAAAATCTAAATAAATAGCAACTATTACATGTTCATAACAAAATCCACCTTTTAACAATGAGTGGTTCACCTCGAGTACCACCTCACTCATGCACTCTTTGGGTTTAGCGGTGGAAGGCGAGTACAATTAAGAAGGATAATTACCACTAAGAAAATGGCGCCGAAGGACTTGGTTGATGAAAAGGTAGCCACGGACGAAGGAGTGGTTCTCCCAACAAGAAGCTAAGTTGTATTGGGTTTTTGGAGGTCGATCGTCTCCGCTAAGCAGTAAAGGATGCGCTTGACGTATCTCTCCACGGTCTCGTCGTATTCCCAGTCGGGATCGTAGAAGGGAGAAAGGAGGATGTTGATCTCCCCACGATTGTTGTACGCGAAGCCGTGATCAACTTCCGGATCGGCCATATACCAACGCGAGATAGGGAGGAGAGGTTGTCTTCTTCTTTTGGGTTCAAGTGTCATGAGGGAACTAGAGTTTCACAAGAGAGTAGGGGCACAAGAAGGGGGCGGCGGCTAGGGTTGGGGAGAGAGGGGGCGGGTGGCTTGAGAGAGAGATGAAAAGGATTGATGAATAGGGAAAGCAAAAATAATAAACCTGAAATTAATTTCAGGTTTCAAAGTTGGTGGAGGGAATCAAATTTCAAATTTCAAATAGAATTTAGGGGAATTAATGAGCATTGAATGGGAGCCCATCAAGATAGGGCCAACGACATTGAGAGAGAGGGAGGGGATTGGGGGAGGATTTAGGGAGTTTCCAAAGAATAAATGTGAATTAGGAAAGCTACTAACAAATCCAATCTATTTTGAATTTAGATTGGATTCATGAATAATACTTTCCTAAATAGGAATTTCAAAAATGGAAAGAATTTTGAATTTCAAATTGAATTAAATCCTTTCTATTTTCTTGTTGGGTGAATATGGAAAGTCATTAGGGCGTTGAGATCACCATAATGAGGGGAAATTATGGGGTGGCCGGCGGCATGGCTAGTGGGGATTGAAGTGGCGCCGGGTTGGGTGGGGGTGAGGGAGCTATATGTCGGGTTGGCTTGGTAGGGGAAGGCGTGGGGTGATTTTGGTTGAGAGATGGCCGGCGGTGGGGCTAAGGAGGTTGGCAGGTAGACGTGGAAAAGAACAAGAGGTGGACAAGAAGATGAAAAAAGATAAAATAACAATAAAGCCACGAGTCGCGAACTCTTCCAACGACTGTTAGGTAATGCACTCGCTCACCTTGAACTCAATCACCCTTCTCTAGCTCTCATGCAAGAAGAAGAAGAAGAAGAAGAAACCAAATTTCATTAAGCATTCATTAAAAAAAAGATACAACATATGAGACCACTATATATAGGTCTTTACTCATGAAAAGAACAAGTACAAGATTGTCTTTTTGGCTACAATGACAAAACAACTCCCCAAAGGGTAAAAACGGAAAACGATAAATAACATATCATGAAAAACTAAATCAAAAGTAGAGGCGTTGAATCGTGGCCGTAGATCTGCGATTACTTCGTTGATACACATGTCGGTAGCGTCTGTCGATGTCCTCATCGGGTTACAATGCTAAAGTCTGTTGTTTTCAAATATAACAGCTTAGCTTGCATTGAAGCCATGTCATATTGATATCTAGCACTTGATTTTTTTTTTCCATTCTAATCAATATTGTTATCTTCTATCTCTGATATTGTAACAACCAAACTCTTAACTATCGAGGTATTGTCCGCTTTGGTCTAATGGCCGTACCGTTTTGATATCTAGCACTTGGTTTCTGTACCGTTTTATCTCGTTTGTGTAACTTCTCAAGAGTTCACCCATCCTAAGATTGCTCATGTACGAGCATGTTTAACCTCAGATCTTCTTAAATGAAATTCTAACAATTATATCAAAAGACGCCTCGATGTTTAAGAGTTTAGTTTCTTTTTACTTAAGGGGTTTCATAATCTGTCTCACTTAAGTAACTGACGTCTTCATCAATATCCTTATCCTAGAATCATTCACCAGACATATATGTTTCTAAAGGAAGCCCTTATAAGTTTAAGTGGCAGCTCTTGTCATATAGCACTTTGTACCATATAGGGTTTAAGAGGTGGCCCCCATGACTTAGCACTTTGTCATGTATGCTACTTAGTTATCATCGTTAGACTGGTGTTTTGCTCTGATTCCATTTTGTAACAACCTAAACTCTTAACTATCGAGGTATTGTCCTCTTTGGTCTAATGACCTCTCATTTTTGCCCCGTTGGTGTAACCTCTCAATAGATTACTCATCTCAAGATTGCTTTTGCACAAGCATGCTTACCTTGGAGTTTTTTTAAAGAAATTCTAACCATTATACTAAAAGGCGCTTTGATATTTAAGATTTTATCTTTTTTTTTACTTGTGGGATTTCACAAATATCTATCTAATATATATCAATTCATTTCTTATGTCTAGTGTGTTTTGACTTCCTATCATTACAACAATGCATGTTTAGTGTGTTTTGCTTAGGTTGAGTGCGCTCTAGCCGGTGGCTAGGGATTTGGGAGAGCCTGATCTTCTCTCCAATTGAATATCCAACCGTACCTTGTGTTTTTTCTTCTTAGTTCTTTCAATAAAAAAATAGTTTTGTCTTTTCTTCTTCCTAAGTTTCTTGTAATGTTTTCTGGTTTTGCTGAAATTGCATTCAATTCTTATCAAATTGGTATTAGAGCATAGATACTTGTACCTATGATAAAAGAAAGGTAGAAGTGTTGGAAGGAGAGATTAGACAATTGATATCTAAAATTTCAGATTTTCAAAGTTAAATTTCAACAATCCATGGAAAGATCGATTGAAAGTTTGCCATTATGGAGGAGATGATGATGAAGATGCTTGAGGTCTAAACCAAAACAGTGTCGTCGAAGGAGGCAACCGCTGGGGCCAAGGGAGTGGAGAAAACCCTAATTTGATAAGGAGAGGGGAAGATCCGAAGGTGAAAATATTGGGGGAAGAAGAAAAGATGCGACCTTTGGAGCCATTTCTAAGGTGGGGAAAGTGTGAATGAGTGAGATTTTTGGTGGAGCTACAGAGTTTGGAAGGAGGAAAAGATGGGGAGAAGATAAAAGCACCAGACATGGTTTAGCCACCCTTACAGTAGTATCGAGGGGTGTTCCAGCTAGTTCAGGGGTTGCCTCCTTTGCGGGAACATGTATATGCTATTTTCTTGAAGGAAGGAGTCTCACCTATCAGTGTTCATCTGTATCGTCATCCCCAAATTTATAATGAAGAGATTGAGAGATTGATCAAGGAGATGCTCGAGGCAGGGATTGTTTGACCCAGTGTCAATCCATTTTCTTGTCAACCCCAACTCCAGAACGAAGAGATTGAGAATTGATCAGGGCGATGCTCGAGGCAGGGATTGTTTGACCAAGTGCCACTCCATTTTTTCTAGTCCACAGTTATTAATCCAGTGCATCAACAATAGCTTACTTCGTTCTACCTCGAGGGCAAGGTGGCTCTTTGTGAGGGGAGTATTGAGGGACTGGCAGTTGAGCCAGTGGGCCCCACTAGGGTGGGCGATGGGCAAGAAGAGAGACAAGAAATTGTTTAGGAAAGTTTTAATTACAATTGGAAGGAAATTAATTAAGGAAAGAAATCTAATTTGAATTCAAATATGAGAGGAAATTATGTAGGGAAATGGGGTTGATTTGGGAATTAGGGGAGCCTATTTAAGGCTGATGATGGGATGATTTCAGGTTATGCTTGATTTTGCTAGAATTAGTTTTGCTTAGGTTGAGTGGGCTCTAGCCGATGGCTAGGGATTTGGTAGAGCCGGATTGTCCTCTCCAATTGAAGATCCAATGTATCTTAGGTTTTATCTTCTTAGTTCTTTCACTAAAAAAGAGTTCTTGTGCGGTTCTTAGGTTTTTCTGTAATTGTATCCATTTCCTATCATAATAATGGGATAAAGTTTGTGGTTTAATGCATAATGATTCAACTTTCTGTTCAATATGTTTAGTTTTTTACTCTTGATTTACTTATAAAGTTTAAAAATAATTCAACCCAGCAAGTATTTTAAATGTTTTAAGTCGTAACTTCATAATTTTCTAGCTACTGCATTGTTCTAAACATGGTATTTAACTTCCATCCCCACCTTCCTTGTTTTTAATTTTTTAAACTTATGCATGTATTTGTGTTTCCTAGTTTTGAGATTTGGAAGTATTCGTTACAGGACTTTTTTTTTTTTTGGAGTTCTTTTGCGAACTGGTCCTAAAAGGTCATCTTCAATGCTCCACTTTGGGCAAACTTTCGGTTTCATTTACGATGAATTCAATGAAGTACTTTTAATTATGTTATTCAGTTCTTACCTTGATGGAGATACATTCATAAAGAACATAGAGATATTGAAAAGTAATTAGTGATTCCATTTGCATTTAAATCTTATAAGTATTATCTCACTTCTTAATCGATCTATTAAATCTTTGTATTTCTATTATATTTCTCTGACCTCATAAATATTGATTTATTTTGTAGATTGAACTAAGACGGGCAAACAATACTGAGATCATGCTGACAAAGGTTAAGATACCGCTTCCTGATCTGATGGTATGCATTTTTCTTTTATTTGTACCATTATGGAAGTAATGTTTTCACCATAAAGATATGACCAAAAAGTGATTTTGGTTGCTCGACACTTAAATGAAAAAAAAATGCTTCTCTAAATGTCACTCAGCTAATAATATGGAAATCATAATCAATAGTTATGATTTTGCAAGAAACGCATATAATAGATGGAAATTACTTACTGAAACATAAATGTTATGGGACAGGGCATGCAAATTAACTAACAATGAGTTACAATTAATAATGCAAAGTTCTAGGTCTCTATTTTTTTATCCTTAGTTCTGTACTTACGATATTTGAGGCAATGCTTGATATGCAATATGATGATTATGTGTGCTATGTTGATAGAACGAAGTCTTTGGCAACTTGTTATGATGACTAAGAATTGTGTCAGGTGTACATATAAATTTAAGCCTAGAGATTTGTAAATATTCGCTATTTGTGACTTGTGATTTGAAATCTATCAATGAATATGATAATAATAGGAAGTCCAAGTTCATGGGATTTACTTCATGCTTTTAACGCTACTCATTCATTAAGATATTGGATGACTTCATCAGGTAAGTACTGTTCATCTATCAGTGGGTCATAGCTCTCTATAGGAATTAGTCTCACACAATTATGATTATGTAAGCTGACTTCTATGTTAAGTCGATCAGTAGCTTAACTAGTATACATGTATTTAGAGAGATTTTTTCCAATTTGCTCTACTTTATTGACGTCAAGATTTTCTCTACTTGAAATGCAAGACTATAAGGAAAGCGAACAAAGTGCTGTCTTTAAGAACCAACCTCGCTATCAATATCCCGAGGTACCAAGCTGTTGAGTTCATTGGATGAATTCTCTAAGTTTGTTAGATACATAAAAAGATCTCGCTGGATTATCTTTTTCAACGATATTTAATCTACAAATAAGAGAAAAGAGAACTCATAAGTTTAATTTCTTGACATTCACAGATTTAAAGTACAATTCACAAGATTTTGAGAATTCTTCATGGGTGTAATATTTTCAGATCTTCCCTACTCCAAGTTATCAGGATGTCCTTCATCAAATTAGTTTTGGTTGGACATGCGTTGGGTTGGCTTATTCTTAGATGCTGTAGGGTCCCTCCTAGGTTGGTTTTAGTATCCCAAAAGCTGATTGCAAGAAAATTTATAGGATAAGAGTTTGGTTTTGCTGGCTTGCATGTGCAGGCTTTTGGGGTTTAAGGGATTAGTTTGGTTTGCTATGCAGGGATTATCATTGACTCTCGTGGATTATGGGCAAGAGGAAATACCAATGTTTAAAATTGCACAATTGGGTATTGACGCATTTTTCTTTTGTGAGGCGAGCGTAAATCTCAAAATCTAAAAATTGCTTAAAGTGAAAATAAAGATTAAAAGTAAATTTTTTAACATAATAACTAAGTAATATATTAAATGGTGACATAGTAACTTTTATTGAATTATGAAATAATAATTTGACATAAATATAAAAAAAAATTACACAAGATGTAAAGTGGAAACTGATAAATTGCGTTAAATAGAATTGAAATCCAAACATCATAATAACAAAATAACATAAAATATAGTATGTAAAAGTAAAAGGAGAAGGAGGTGTTGCGGTGATGGCCATCCCCAGGTGATTGCCGGCGGCAGCAGCGGCTGGCTTGGGTGTAGGGAACTCAAGGCTGGACGTTGAGGATGGGGGATCTACAACATGGGTGCGATGGGTCCGTGTGAAGGTGTAGGTGTTTAAATTACGTTAATTTTTTTTTTTTTTTTATATATTTATAATTAAAAGAAGGACATACATGATATATACATCTCATGCTTGTGAGGCAAGGCGCACCTCAGCCAGATTGAGGCATGCCTCAAAGTAAAAATATGAGGTGTGCATCTTAATGCGTTTTGCAATAGAACTGCGGCGAGGTGTGCCTCACATTGTGAAATTTTAAACAAGGGGAAATACATAAATTTATAAAAATCTGAGCAAGTCAGCAGGGTATTCATGGAAAGATTTGAAAATTTTGGCATCTCGATCTTCGATAATTTGATTTAGATTAATCATAATATAAAGAAGGAAGCAGTGCGTATGCAATTTGAAGCACTCCACATACAAAGCTTGGATCAACGGATTAAGAAAGAAATCAAAAGTGGCCTTGTCACACAGTTTATTCATCAGATCAATAATCTGAAAGTTTATATAATTAAGTCCTATTTATAATGATAATCCACCGCAAGACAAGGTTGAATTTTTTTATCCTTTTTTCCTAAATAAAATTAAATTATCCATTTCTTTATTAAATTTAATTCAATACATATAAAGTTGGGTCTGAAAAGGCTTGAAAACTGGTATGTTTGAATTTTTAATAATTTGATTCAGCTCATTATGATTGGCCTATATGAATCTAGACTTGTATGAGCTGAATTGGCTGAATTTTGAGCCAAAATCATTAACTCATAAATTTAGAATATATAGATCATCACTATGCAATATTGCATAGCTTTGGTTTTTTATTTGACTTTTCTATCATTCAAGACATTTTTCTATCATTCAAGACACTAGAAAAGATTTTGGAATATCATCTTGAAGTGAATGCGTCAAAGGGGTTGGGCTTGAGCTTACAACTTTTATAAATGTTTGTGAGGGGTCACACGGATAGAGATTTGGCAGATTTTCGGCAACTGCCAACATAATTTTGTCCAAAATATATGAGATTCAAGTGAAATGTCACTAGAGCACTTGCAACTCAATTGAAGCTTTTAAAATCAACCGAGAAAATTGCTGCTTTTAGATTTTCTTCAACCGAACTGCTCCCGAACTACCAAATTGTGCTGAAACATTGGAAACTTTAAAATCATGCTTATAAGTGTGTAATGTTTTTTTTTTCTCGTTTCAGTTTTTCTCTATTTCATATAAGGTGCTGTTAAGAAGTGACGTACATTTACTTGTGTACCAAATATATATATAATATTAATTAAAAGTAGTTCACTTTTTTATCACCTCTCTTCTGTCTAATTTATGCTCTATTGAGCTGCAAGTCATGCTTAGTGTTATTTGATTTCTCAGAGTGCTGCATTAGCCTTGGATAATTCTATTCTTGATGTTGATCAAGTGGAAAACCTGATCAAATTTTGTCCAACCAAAGAAGAGATGGAGCTTCTTAAGGTGCTCTTAATGACTGTTTTTTTATCAAAATTTTGGTGTGAAGATGATTTTAGTCTTTCTGTGTGTAGGCTCACATTTCTAATTTATGATTTTCTCAGGGATACACTGGTGACAAGGAAAAGCTTGGAAAATGTGAGCAGGTAGTCACGTGCCCCTTTTCTTTTAAGAATAGTAGTCATTTGAACCTTTAAACAAATCGTAGTGCCAAAAACTTTAAAAAATTATGGACATTATTGGATTCTTGCTTAAACAATATTTGCATAGAAAAAGTGTGCATAAAGTGTGATAATTTAGTACCGCCTACTAAACATTGCTTTATAAAGCATTGAAAACAGAAAAAAATGCTCATTTTTTTAAGCATCTTATAACTAGAAAATAATGATTTAGTTTTTTATATATCTGTGATCTGGTTCCATTGATATCTTATATCTTTCCGTAGTTGTTTATATACATCACTTTCTTTTTTCTTAGCACATAATGCTTTAAAAGGCATTTTTTAGGACTCAATTGTGGCCTAATTGAAGGAAGCGAAAGGTAAAAATTTCTGAAGGCAATTGAGGGACGTGTTTGGGGCATCACCTCAAATGACCGGGCTCACCTCACCCAGCTAATTGGGTAATAGTCCCATGTAACTTAAATTAAATTATTAATTTATTAAACTTTAACATATTAGTAATATCTTTATAATCTATTTATGTTAAAAATGGTTTAAAATGCTATTTATCTTGTAATCTCTTTATATTTAAGTTTGATCAAGCTAACTCTTCTCCTATAAGTATAAAAAATAGGAAGTCTTAAGCATGACTCGCCTTCTTCCTCGCATTCCATTAATCCTTAGATATTCGCTCACTTCTTTAGAGGCTCTCTCATTGATTTTGATTTCTCTTGTTGATACGCCACTTATCTTCAAGGAGGTTTTATGCCAACTCGCCTCTTATCTTGTTCCTTTTTTTTTTCATTTTATATGTTTTGTCTTAGATAGTTTGGTCACATAAAACGGTGGCATTCCGATGACCCGGTTAAGAGAGTAGATGTATTAGATTTAACTTATGTTAAGAAAGATAGAAGTAGACCTAAACATACTTGGTTAGAAAATATTAGAAATGACCTTTCTTTATTAGATTTTAATGAGAATTTGGCTCTTAACAAAACACAATGGAGGAAAAAGATTCATATAACCGACCCCATGTGGTGGGATAAAGTCTTGATATTTTTGTTGTCTATCAGATTTTCGAGTTTTAATATGAATAAGATGGCTATCAATTTTGAATTTATTTCAATTTTTTCTTCATGTTTCATTTTTAATCATATTTCTATTTATTAAAAATTAAAAATGTAAAATTAATAATTATAGGGTCTTGTGATAAATAAAATAGCTCTCTTATGCCTCCATATTTTAAAACATTATATAAAGATCATTAAAATTTATAGTGTTTGATTTATTTCTTAATTTTTTTTCAAGTCTTTTTACTTTCTTATAACTATAATTATAAATTTAGTATTTACTCTGCCACTACTTTGAAGTAAGTTTCTTTTACCTGTATACTTTTTTCGGACCCAGGCACTCTACTACCCCTCTCTTTACTTGCGCATGATCTATTTCTACTCCCACAAATTATACAACAATTTTCTTATAAAATCAGCCATTCCACACATCAGGTTTTTGCCCAACCATTTTTCGAGTTCCACCATCTTATCCGACGCAATTATTTTATTTTGATCACTTTTGTCATACTCCAAATATATGAATCCATAATTACTACGTGTTGTGAGGTTAGAATTTCTCTTGTAATCACCCTAAAAGCTTTGCAAAAAGATTTTTTTTTTGCTTTTAAGTAAGATAATTTCATTTGTGGTTTGGTCACTCTATTTTTAAAACTTAGTGCTTTTTAAGTTTTTTAGAGCATGTGTTGTGCAAATTCATATGCTATTGTGATATCAATTTATATATCAATTGGTTGAAAATTGTCATTTGCTTATAGAATTATTATGTGGTGCACTATTAATCTGGGAGCTGAAGTGCAATTTTGCATGGCTTTTCACTTAGTGTTAGTTATATCAAAATGCGTTGTAAGGATGGCCCTTCTGCCTTGTTAGCACGACACTGATGCGTTGTAATTAAAACTGCAGTTTTTCCTGGAGCTTATGAAGGTTCCTCGTGTAGAATCCAAGTTAAGAGTATTCTCTTTCAAGATTCAATTTTGTCAACAGGTTGGATGGCATTTTTTTTAATTATTCTCAATAAGTTTCAATGAATCTAATTAAATTAATTGTTTTATTTTAGGTTTCTGATCTTCAAAAGAGTTTGAATGCCATAGATTCTGCATGTGAGCAGGTAATTTTATTTCTAATCTTTCAAGATATTCTCTCTTTCTGCTGTCCATAACTCATCTGTAGTTATTCATGTCTTGTGATTTACCAGATAAGGAATTCTGTCAAGCTTAAAGAAATCATGAAGAAAATCCTGTACCTTGGAAACATGCTAAACCAAGGAACTGCAAGAGGTAACAATTTTTCATTCATTGCCACATGGTATGCATTTTTTCTAGCAATAAATGAATGCACATATTTGTTATATTTGTAATAACTTTTTCAATAGAACAAGCTTAAAAAGGGAGACTGATGACTTGAAATCTTAGGGAATAGGGCAGAAGTTGTGGGAGTTAAAAACGATGTATTATGCTCTTTGCTACTGATTGAGCTGTGGCAATGAGCAAACTGCAATTTAAATATTAGAAGCTCTGTACTTATTTTTATAATAGTGCTACTTAATGCAAGAATCTTAGACATTGCTTAGAACTACTGTAAAGTCACTCTTAGATGTATTACAGTGAATTTTATGGAGTTCTTCCCCCTTGCATGTTTGTCATGACTCGGTTACTGTTGGAGATTATCTATATGGTGGCAGCATCAACAACAACAACAACATCAAGCCTTTGTCCCACTATGTGGGGTCGGCTACATGAATCTTTTTTCTTGATTGTCTTATTAAAAGTAAAATTCTCGTTTAAATCTAATAATGAAAGATCATTTCTAATATGTTCTAACCAAGTCTTTTTAGATTTACCTCTATCTTTTTTAATACAAGTCAAATCTAATACCTTCACTTTCCTAACCGGGTCATCGGAAGGCCGTCGATTTATGTGACCAAACCATCTTAAGGCGACTCTCTAATCTTATCTTCCACTGGAGCTACTCCAACCTTTTCATGTATATGCTCATTTTGTATCATGTCTCTGAGAGTAAATCCACTCATCCACCTAAGCATCCTCATCTCTGCAACACTTAGTATTATGCTTCTCTTTCAATGCCCAACATTCTGCACCATAAAACATTGCAGGTCTCACCACCATCTTATAGAATTTTCTCTTAAGTTTGTGGGGGACTTTTCTATCACACAACAAGTTCGATGCATTACTCCACTTCTACCATCCAACTTGAAGTCTGCTGATAATATCCCCATCTAATTCACCATCACTATGAACAATAGATCTAAGATTATCTGTATGGCAGCCTTCCTTCAAATTTCTACTATTTATAAACTTTGATTGTATCAGAGTGAATGCCAATTCGTGGAAAATCATATTATAGCAGACTCGCTAAATTTCAATTATACAGGTAAACCAACAGTAAAAACAAAGAAAAGAAAGAGAAAGCAAAGAACCCACCGAATTTTCTAATCTTGGTCTTATGCCAGCATAAAGAGAACTTTCCTCACAAGTTGTTAAGACTTGCATTCTACTCAAAAAATTTACATCCGCTGTGTGCAAAAATTTGAGAAGGAATATGAGATTTTATTGAACCATTGAATTAATTTAAATGCCTAGTGTTCTATTTATGATTAAAAATAGACCCATAATTAATTGTGTTTTTAAAATCCAAAAAATTTGTCTAAAATTGTAAGTCTGAAACTCACAATCTCAGATTCTAGCAAAAACCATCAAATGCCAATTTAGCTTCAGCACAAAAAATTCCGAATCAACTATAGTTAAAATCATATACATCAGGTTTCTGCTTAACTATGGGAGGCAGTGATTACCAAAATATTGCTTCAGTACAAATAACCATAAATCCCGACTATAATGGGAGATCGGTGATCCAACCTTCACCAAAAAATTATTCCACTATAGGAATCAATAGCCACAAGATGGGTGGGCGGTGTTTGTATCACCACGCCTATGTACTGTCTAGTCTCTTTCGTCTCCTACTTTCTGTATTTAGGGAGGCAAAATGCAAAAGAAATATGGTTTGAATTTTTATTTGGAAATAACTCATAATAACAAAAATTTGAACCAGTTACAATCAAAGAGTAAACTATAATTTATATTTATCCTAATAATATTCTCAAGGCAATATTTTAGCAATTTGTTTGGTAGTTTTTCCATGATATTTGTTATTCAGAAAGTACGGGCTTATTCATTTTAAATTTTTTTTGTGGCAGTCATTGAAATATGGTTTTCTTTTTAAAGGTTCTGCTATTGGCTTTCGTCTGGACAGCCTCTTGAAGCTGACAGATACTCGTGCAACTAACAGCAAAATGACACTGATGCATTATTTGTGCAAGGTAAAAAGCCATTGATTCCTTCCTCGTTATGTTACCTTTAATTGACCAGTTGCTTTGTTTGGAATTATTCAATTCCTGTTCATGTTCACTGGTTTCTAGACTAAATTTATAGATGTGAATTTTGAATCAACAGCATTCCTGTTGACTATAATTTTCTGTTGATTAATGTTTGATGATACCACTCAATTCACTTTTATCACAGTTGAACTCTGTTGCTATGTCATATTTTAGATCGATTTGATCATTTTTTATATAATACCAAATTGAGATGGATTGCTTACTGGCTCGTTCAATTTCACCTTTAACTTTTTTTATAAAGTTGAGGAACCAGATTAGAAGCGGTGATGGTCATACTGAACACACCCATAATAGTGTTGAGATCGATTTGATCATTTTTCGCTTTTTTTTAGTAGTACTATATTAAAAAATATGTCAATGACGGTGATCCTAGGAGAATATGATGTGGACTTGTGGAGAACACAAAAATATTTTTTCTGTATCCTAATATTCAATGCAAGTAATATACAGACTAATCTAAGAAGAAAATAGTAAACTTGCCTACACCAAACCAATAGGAATATTTACAACTATGCAAATAATAATTTTCCTCGGTTGAATATTTACAATCAATTTTCTAGCTATCCATCTTTATTTCCTTCCTTTGCTTGAATTCCTGTATTTTAGCACTCCCACTCAAGCTGTTGAATATATGTTTTTAATTCTTAACTTGGATACAATTGTTACTCCACAATTTAATTGCTTGGTAAGAACATCTGCAAGCTATCGATCAGCAAATAAATAAGGCATGCAAATGAAGCACCGTCAAGCTTTCTTAAACAAGTGTCAGCCGACCTCTGTATGCATTTTAAGTTCATATTGCGCTAGATAACGGACAATGTATATATCTTAAGTATTAGACTTGTACTTCTTTGAATAAAATTTCCTTCTCTGGAGTTCCTTTTAGGTTGATAGTTGAATAGAAGTGTGGAAATGCTCAGGTGAAAAAGGAATCTCTTGGCTTACAAACTCTTTAATATTATTTGGAATGCTAAAAAGATGTCAGATGAATGGAGCAAGAGTGTTGATTTATATTTATAAAAATAAAGGTGATGCACATGAGTTTGTGGAATATAAAAGAATTAATTTAATATTTCATATATTAAAATTATGGGAGAGAGTAATTGAGCATATATTACAACGTAATACTAATTTTTCTTAAAATCAAATTGGATTCATGCCTGGTAGGTCTACTATGGAAGCTATACATTTGCTGAGGGGTTTGATAGAGAAGTACATAGAGAGTAAGGAGGATCTACCTATGATATTTATTGATTTAGAGAATGCTTATGATAAAGTTCTAAGAGAAGTGCTTAGGAGAGTTTTAGAAAAGGAAAAAAAAAATGCTTATATTCAAGTCATTAAGGATATTTATATATGAGTTGTTACTAGTGTTCAAACATAAGGTGATTTGATCAAGTATTTTCCTATTTCAGTTGGATTACATCAAGGATCAACTTTAAACCCATATGTTTTTGCTTTAGTCATAAATGTTCTTACTAGACATTTGCAAGGGCACGTACCTTGGCGTATGTTTTTTGTTGATGATAATTTTATTGTTGATAAGACTAGAGAGGGAGTTGAGGAAAAACTTATATTATGGAGGTCAACGATAGAGTTTAAAGTTTTTTTTTTAGTATATCTAAAACGGATACATGGAGTGTAATTTTAGTACTAATATATCCACCGGCGGGATTGTGATATTGGGTGAATCAAGTCATTTAAAAGAGTGCATGTTTTAGATATCTCGGGTCCATTGTTCAAAGTGATGGTGAAATAGAAGGTTGTATTATTCGTAGAATTTAAATTGGATGGTTGAAATGAAGGAATGAACCGGGCATGTTGTGTGATAGAAAAATACCCTCAAGCTTAAGGGAAAATTTTATAAGATGGTGGTGAGAGCTGCAATGCTTTGTGACGCATAATGTTGACTATTAATTTTTTATTTTTCTTGAGTCTATTTTTGTATTAGATGTATGTCGGTTTAGTTACCGTGCACACACATAAAGAGGTTAAAATTGAATGCTATACAATTTGTTAAAATAAATTAATTAAAATATTTAATTAAGCAAGATTAATTAAAATTAACATATAACTAATCATGCTGTACGATTTACACATCGTATTAGCGACCAAGTATATTAAGAAACCTCATCGAATCTTTGGTTACTTGAAATAGACAAATTAAAATTTGAAAATTGAGCTGATCATACCGTATGAAATACTTCATATTGTACAATATTTAATTATACTTGCCTAATTTAAATCCGATAATTAAGGAATTAAATTAGATTTGAATTAATTACAGATCGTACTGTATGATACATATATCATACAGTCTGATCGACCCGAGAGCTCTCGGGGCGAACTTTGGTTTATCTTGTACAATATGATTTTTTTATTTGAATTAATCATACTTGACGATTTCCAGTCGTACAGGACGATCTTTGAAGACATTGAACTAATCTTATTGTACGATCAGAGGCATTTTTATTGAAAATTAGGGTTTTGAGAGCCCACTTTATAAATTTGTTTGCGACTTTAAGAGAACAAGTTTTTTGGCATTCAGAGGAGTCTTCCTTCTATAAGAGAGCTTAAAGAGAGTCCACAAAGTAAAAGGAGATAGTGGAGGTGAGGTTAAGATGGAGAAGTTCCTTAAGGGTGTCAAGGGAGTGTGAGGGGGTTCATATAGGTTCTCCAACTGACCTGCACCTTGGGTCCTCCGGTTTCTATTTGTGTGGAGCTCTTAGAGGGGGATAGTCTTTGGAGCAAAAAACTCGCGCTAGCCCGAGGAGGTTAGGAGTGGCATCTCCGTCGGGCTTGAGGGCGAAAGAAGTTTTTGCATCTCCGTCGGGACGAGGAGGCGAGAGGAGGGACCAACATCTCCATCGGGTTTGCGGGTGAAAGGAAGGACGACAACTTTGCCAGGCCAAGGAGGCGAGAGGAGAAGATTCTTCGGGAGTGAAGAGTCTGTAGGGGTGATTCTCGACCTGGTCAAGGGAGAAGGGTTTTTTCCACCTAGCTGTGTAGTGAAGGAGAGACACGTTTGGTGCAAATCCCAAAGATGACTTTTGGGGAGTGGATGTAGGTCAATCTGACCGAACCACTTTAAACCTCGGTTTGCATTGTCTTACTTTTTTACACTTTACTTTTCCTGCAATTTATGTTTATTGCTCTCTGGTGTTGATTTGATTATCTTGGAAAAATAAACATTTTGGTGAATAATTGTTGGTTGAATCTTGTTTTGAAAATTAGTAAAGAAAAGAAATAAAAAGTATATTATTTGCCTTCAACAAATTTGTTTTTCTGCTAATTATTTTTACAAAATCAAAATAAAACATATATATATATATTGTTTTAGTCTCTGTTTTATTTCTTTAACGCTTCCGCTTATCAAAATTGTATTTAAGTAAAAGATTTTCAAACATTTCAAAAAGTAAAAAAAAAAAAACAATTCACCCCTCTTGGTGTTCCATAAGCACTTATAATTGGTATCGTAGATGGTTGTGAACTTTCAATAATGATCCTGTTAGTAGAGTAGATGTATTAGATCCGGTCTACGTTAAGAAAGGTATAGGCAGACCTAAAAAACTTAGTTATAAAGTATTAAAAATGATATCTTTTAATTATTTTTAAATGAGAATTTGACTCTTAATAGGACACAATGGAGAAAAAGGATTCATGTAGCTGATTCCACATAGTGGGATAAAGGTTTGTTTTAATTGTTGTTATTGGAGTTCCTTTTAGACATTGCAATACTTGATTTGCACTTGCAAATAGAATTCCTTTGGATTGTGCATAAATTGGTTGATCACACTAACATCATATGCTATATCTAATTTGTGCGGGAGCGAGATATGCGGCTTCTCATTGGGCGGTGATACATAAAGGGGTATACTACTTTCTATGCTTGTGAACAAAGGCATCTAGATGATTTTTTTTTTTTTTTTTTTTTTTTTTTAAAGGGGTATACTACTTTCTATGCTTGTGAACAAAGGCATCTAGATGATTTTTTTTTTTTTTTTTTTTTTTGCTTATTTTTTAAATCATGCACATCAAATTTCTAAATTAAGATTAGTCATCCTAATTATATCATGGCAAGTTCATAAATACTAAGATGATTTGATCTCTTGTCACAAACTAATAAACTCTTAAGATGTGGATAAATGATTCTGGATTTTTTAATTTTTTTATTCAGGAGTACTCAAATTAAATTAATTTGTACGAATCATGCATAGTACAACATCTGATGATAATTTTCCTTTTGATTTCAAAGGAATGTATTTAATTAATATTTCTATGAGGGGCATTGCATTTTTTTGGTTTAACTTTCAAATCTTGTCAAAAGTAATTAAAAAAAATTAGATAATTAATTTGTTCATAAGTTTTAGATCAACATCAATTATCATAAACTTATATTTGAAGATAATAACATTAAAAATAATTGTATGGTTAATGATATTCTTAAACATAAAAGCAGTATTTGCACGCGTGTACACACACATACAACACTACTGCTTTTTTTGGTGGAAGTTCATTCTCCTTACAATTAATTTCTTATGTTAGGCTCTTCAAATTTATGATCAAGGTTGTTGATATTGATATGCTACGTAAGAACAATTTGGTGATCAAATTTGATTACTTTTTATGAAGTTTATACTATTTATCAATTATGATGAAAAATACATTGCTTTTAATGCCCAGCAGTAAAAGTACTATTATTTATTATTTTGAAATTAAATTCGTTATAATTGTTCCTAGATATCCTTAATTTTTTTTTTCATTTAATTTGAGTACTTACTGAAATTAGTGAATGATCTATCTCACTATCGCGATCATATGTTTGGATGTAAAGTTTGTATGCTTGAAATTTGTTAAATTTTGACATTATGCTACTTTTGTGGTGAAGTTTAAGGTGAAGAATCTTGATCTTCTGGCTGGATGTTATATGATTGAAATGCGTGAAAAAAATCAAGCGACAAAAAATCTCAATCCTTCTAAAAGTATTGTAGCCTATCTTAGCTCCCCATAATGATTTTGAGTTGAGTTTGAGCGAGCCAGTTTGAACTTGAAATTGAGTTTTTTTATTTAGACTTGAGTCAAGTTAACAATGATCTATTTGGAGTTGACTTTAAAGTTGATTTATGTATATTAATTTTATAAAATATTTTTTAATCGTAAATCAAAATTATTATCGATATAGAAATATTCAAAATTTATTTATAAAGAGTTATTATATATATGCGCATGTTTATTATGCATATTTCATTTTTGTAAGTTGATTTGAATTTATTTTGATCGAGCTACCTTTGAGTCTATGCATATTGATTTTGATTTTGAGTTGATTAATATGCGTGAGTTGCGAGCAAGTTCGAGTTATATACATAATCACTAGCTCTACCACACCCTCTCCCTCTCTCTTTATATGCACACATGCACAAAAGCATACATACATTTGTGCGTGTGTGCAAGTCTTTGTTCATGTTTCACCCATTTTCAGTCTCTTTTATTTTCTCTATGAATGTAAAGTTCATTTCTACTTTAGATTACTGACTCTCTCTTTTATATATACTCATGCTTGACTGTAATTTATATTGTACACAGGTTCTTTCTTCAAGATCACCTCATCTTCTTGACTTCCATGATGGTCTTACCAGCTTAGAAGCTGCATCAAAGGTATCAAATGCATAAGAAGAAACTTGTAAAATCAACTTTTAGTTCACTAAAATTCAACTATTTTAAGATATTCCTTGTTGTAGATACAATTAAAAACCTTGGCTGAAGAAATGCAAGCTATTATCAAAGGCTTGGAGAAGGTCGAGTTGGAGTTGGCTGCTTCTGAAAGCGATGGCCCAGTATCAGAAGTTTTTCGGAAGGTATGACAGTATTTTTGCTCCAGCCCTTATATTTTGCCCTTTCTGTTAAATTTCTTCTGAATCTGATGTGTTTCTTAAAATCGTGTTCATATTTTGTTGTGCTTAGTGTTGCTGTTTCTCTTATTGAGATCTTTTATGGGATTCTATATATCTATATATACAATGTGCAGTATATTGCCATTTTTTGCAATCATTTAGCTCATGGCAGTTTGGTAGCATTAATTTTCTTTCCTGCTGGAAAATTCACGGTAATAAAAAGATAAGAGTTTATTATCTTGCATTGTATGAACATTCCATATACGCTTTTTTTTAAACATTCCACATACGCATGGACAAGTTGAGAGCATGTCACAGGGTTTGCAAGCTTTTTTACATAGAAACCCATAAAAGGGAAAAGCCATGAGGCTTAATTAAAATAATTATTTTTGTGTATATTGTTCGTTACAAATGATGCCATTATACACACTTGGAGAAGACATGGATACAATATAATAGATATGGATAATAGTTTTCATGGTGAATGTTGAAGGATCTTTGAGATATGACTTATTTTCTAGAGATTTTTAGTGGTTTGTCTAGTTATTCATTTTAAAAGAGGGGAGATTAGAGACCAAGTGGATAATAGTTTTCATGGTGAATGTTGAAGGATCTTTGAGATATGACTTATTTTCTAGAGATTTTTAGTGGTTTGTCTAGTTATTCATTTTAAAAGAGGGGAGATTAGAGACCAAGAAGTCTACCATAAGCTTTAGTGTTGATGCCAGACATTAGCATTTAGTGGCAGAACCACATGGACCTTAGGGGGGGCAATATTCCCCCTTCAAAAAAAAAAAAAACATTTTTTTTATATAGTAGAGTAAAAAATTTTTTTTTGCCCATTCTAAAAAATTACTTTTGCCCCCCCTAAAAAACTCTTTTGTCCTAACTTGTCCTAAAATGTCTATATATTTCTTCAAATTTAGTTCTAATATTTTCTTTCATGTTTTTTCACAACAATTTAATTACACTTTTTTTTTTCTTTCTTTTTTTTTT